AAAATAGTGGGAGACAGATGAACAAGCAGTGCATCTCTTAGAAGAACTGCGAACTTTGGGAGTGGGATAAGAAGGAATGTTGTGGTGATGTGTTATAAACAAATCAGGCAACCAAATCTGTATCAGCCCTGAAAGAACAGGCCTTAGTGTGACCGCATAGTACTTTTAAGATGTCTAATAGCAAGCCTGAATGCTATCCAACAGGCAGCTGGAAATGCCCTGGAGTCCAGAAGAAGATCAAATTGTCTTTGTCCTAAACAAATTAAAGGCAGCACCTTCAGTTTAATCTAGTGTTTGAAGTCTTGTATCTCCCAGAAAAAGGCTTGATGAAGAAAACTGTTAGGCAGATGGACTGACTGAAGTGTGAAAATTGAATTAAGATTGGAATTAAAATCTAGATATGGCCAGCAGTAATCCTATAAATTACGGGCTTTGTGAGACTGACTGCAGGGAGCTGCAGTTTTTGTGCTCTCCTACTTGAAATACTGGCTACAGTGAAGATAATTTGTATGGAAAAGGAGAAGGGCATTGCCTACCTCAGGCACTAATGCACTAACTTTCAGGAGACAAAATCTTGTCTTGAGAAAGGAACACATGATGTTCTTCAGACGTTTTTTACACAGGATAAAAAAGCATCACTTGATCCTGAAGCAGAGGATATCTGGGGAAAGTGCTGTGAAGTATATCCTAGGAGAGCCTCAATTACATGAAGGGAAGAAAATAGTCTGAGTTTTAGTGTTTAATGAAAAGATTCTCTGCAGAGCTTCGCAGAACATATATTTCATTTAGCATCTTAAGTGGTTCTGGAATAATGTGTCTTGTTCAGTTTTCAGGAGTTTGCCAAGGCAGCATGTGAACTATTAGGTACAATGGCACTGAACACTGAACAGCACAGAGCTGTGACTTGACCAAGTCTGCAAGAAACAAGAGGATAATCAACAGATGGGATGACAGATTTGTCAAGACAGAGGCACAAAACTGTCAAGTCCATATCAGCATTTTAATGGTGCCTTTGATGTTTAAGCACCTCTCTTTTAGTTTAAACAAAATTTAAATATTCCAGTGCACTTCTATGCATTGCCCTATATCATGTCAGGGAGCTAACTTCCAGTAATTCTTTCTAAATTTGACCCTAACTGAAGAGAGTGTCTTGTCAAAGGGTTCAATGAGAATTTTACAAGCAATGATAAGGACTTTCTCCATCAATTTTCCTAATTTCTGCAATCCAGAAAAACTGAGGATGTAGGAGACAGCATGAGTTTCCAAAGTACAGCAGAGACACAAAAGGCTTTGTTATGTACATTTAATTTTTTTTAAAAAATACCAGTACAATAAGATGAAATAGAGATGTAAGTCTGAATTTAAACCCACAAGGCATGTAATTATTCAGCGTAAAAAGATATATATCTATACAGTGGAATTTCAACTTAGGGCCAATTTAATGAAAGAAAGGGACAACTAATAATGGGACAACTGTAAAACAATGGAATAAAGAATCATATGAATTAATGTATTATTACTCTAAGCATTATCCCAGACCCAATTTAAGCATGAAGATCTGATTTTTGAAAGCTGTTGAGCAATGTACCATCAGGAGTTCTGTCTTACTTTGTTTCTAGGAATATAAGGTACAGATATATTTTTAGATATATCCGTTTATATCTTATACATAAGGATTAATGTGAGCTGTGATTGATACATTTATCTGTGAGTATCTGTTTATAAATTAAATACACTGTCCAGGTACTTCTCACTCTTGCCATATATAACTCTTGCCATATCTAAGTATCACTGATGGGTTAAATTCCTCTGAATTCTTCAGTTTCACTCCTCACTGTACAAGAAGGTACAACATACCCAATTTCAATGGTGCAGGCCCTTGCCAGAGGGGATGATTCTGTCTCAGTACAGAGTCATTGGAAGAAAATACTTTGAGGAATAGGAAAATCCTTTGTATAACAAGGAGAAAATCTTTTGAAAACGTGCCTTAAAAAGATGGCTTTTGAGAAGAGCATTGTAAGAAATGCTGACAAGATGGGTAATAATAACTTTGATAATGAATTCCTGAGTAAATAACTGAGATAAATCAATTCAGGCTTTGTCCCTCTTATGAGGGACAGCTTTGAAGCTATTCAAAAACTTGACCTTTTTGAAAGGCAGTTAATCAAGACAGTTAAAATACATAACTGAAAGAAAATTAAGTATCTACTTTTTGATGTTGAGAGATGGCTTTTAGTCACAGGACTCGAAACATCATCAGTCTTTTAGAGGACTTTCAATTCATCCCAACATTCTCGTTGCATCCTGAGGTAAGGAAATTATTTCTCAATTCACAAACTAATTTCAAACACTTAGAGCCCTTTCCCATAGTCTGTTGGGAGCAGTTCTGTGCTGACAGCAACAACTTTTTTATACCTTTTTTATTGTAATACTGGTTCCCAATGAAGCTAGTTCTCCCTTTGGAAGGTGACTTGGCAGCCATAAGAAATCTCAGTGTAAATCAAAGACCCATTTTCAGCCCAACAGGCTCAAATGACTTGGAAGTTCAGGTCTGTGCACGAGTTGTACTCAACACCCTAAATGTAGAAACATCATGCTAACTATGCTGTTACATTCAAGTTACATGACTCAGCCCATATAAAAGACCTAAATGTAATGGACATTCGTTCAGGGCATCGTGGCAAGATTTGCAAGCTGAGCCATGGCATTATTCTGATTTAGCTGTGGTGGTTTGCATTCTTAAATAAGGACCGCCTTTGGAGACATTGCACTGTTTTCAGATGCACAGTGTCGTCATACCCAGTGTCAGAGGAGACTTCTGTCATTAATTTGCATTATACAGACTTTTTTTCTAGTGTAACCATATTTAGTTAAAGACTGTTTCCATCTGTTCAGCTTTTCTGCGTCTCACAGGTCCTGGAGACTTCTAGAAAGTGTAGACAGGGGCTAAACTTCTAAATTGCGTTTTGAATTCCCAAAGATTCAACATTGTCAGTAGAGCCATTATAAGCTACCAGGGTGGCTGACCTTCAGTCTTTTGAAACATTGAAGTTTCAAAAATGCATATTAATCATATCTATTCTATTGTTTTTCTGTGAGTCACCAGGTTTCCTTCAACTGAGAAATATCTGTGTTGAAGAAAATCAGCAAATGTCATTTGTTTTTTCCATTTACCCTTTTGACTTCATTCTACCCAACTGTATATCCATGAGTACTTCATGTTTACAAAGATAAAAGTGGAGACTTTGAAAGATTTTCTCTGGCATGTTACTCCAGTGTCATAGCAGGAGAGCTTAATATATCTAGACCTCTCCTTGCTTGATTTCTTCTACACACGTCCTCTCTTCACAGGAAACATATTTATTTATTAGACCTTATTTATTCTCACAACATACACTTACATTTAGCACATGCAGGCCTAAATCTTTTGAAAATAAATATTCTGAAAAGCTCTAACTTTGGGGCTTTTAAGATGTATCCTGTTTCTGCAAAGTATAGAGGAACACAGAAATAATGGGGAAGTTCAAGAAAAACAGGATTCTCTCACCGATGCACACATTGTATGGGCACAGAAGGCAGAGATTAATACTTTATTGTTGGAAGCAGGAAAGCTATGTAGGGATCCAGATGTATTCTTAGAGCAGCAAAGCAGGCCAGGGAGGCACCTGTTGTGCAGTCTGATGGCTGCACCGTCTCTGGAATGGTATTCATGAGGTGACTGTGTACAAGAGCTTCTGGAAAGAAGGCATTCTCAGTTCCACAGAAAAACTCTCTATTTCTCAAAATTTTTTCCTCTTTCATGCAGCAAGAACTCTGTCCCTGAGACAATGGTTGTGGGTGCCAGGAGACAGCAGGATGCTAGGAACAAACTTCTTGAGAGTCTGGCATGAGCTCCTGAGAATCAGTTTCTGTGCCATGCAGAATGGTGTAACTACATGTCAGTTCTTCCTCTTGACTGTGAAGTCCACAGTCCACTATTCTGCTTGTACTTAATCTTGCAGTCTGGATGATATATGGACCATGCTGTTTCTCTGCCTGCTTTGGGGTTGGTGTATTCAAACCCCCAGCGTTTTGTGATTCAAAATTCCTGAATAATTGTTGAGGGCTCCACTGTGTCTGTGGAGGATAGTTTCATATCCCACTTACATGGGAATCAAGGTCCTGTTGGGTTTCTTTAAAAACACTGTCACCTTTTGAAATTCCAGTTGTTTCTGAAAATCAGCAATTAACAAATGTGTGTTCTATATTTTAAGACAACAAAACTGTCTGCTGTTGTATTACAGGTTTGCTTTTAGCTGCTGTGGGTGAGCAGAGGTTTGTATCTCTTCTGCTTGAAGAAATACATTGATGTTTTAGAAAACTGATTATTCTGACCCTCCTGAGGCTAATTTTGAATAGCGCTGTGTGAATGTAACAACTTTCTAGAGGAACAAAAAGCCACTTCACCACATTTGGTCAGTGGGTAGAACTGCTAACATGCTTTGCAGTCCCATTTCTGGTTTTTCACTGCACACACGGCTTTTGGTACCAACCGCTGGGATACAGAAACTGTTTGTAATGAGCTCTCCAGAGATTTCTTGCGCTGTGTACACCCTTGAGCTATTCAGTCATGTCCTATGGACTTTGTGTTTTTCTGTTACTGATCTTTCTCATTATCTATGAGTGCTTCACAGCTGGGAGCAAACTTGGGAACTGTCTGGGCAGCCCAGTGCACTGCTGGGTAAAGATGAATTAGTGTCAACCCTTGCTGTGCAAACTTGGTATCACTTCATGGCAGAACCTTGTGTCCTTTATATGTATTGAGATATGTGTGTTCCATTTGCCAAAACATGTATATCATTACATAGTTGCAAATGCACAATGTTTCTGTCTTCACTTTCCTCCTAGTAGAATGTTGATTATTATATCAATAGCAAAGTGTGAAGGTAGGAGATGATGTCACTAAAACAAATATTCTTGATGTCACTAAAACAAATATTCTTCTTTATTTTTCTTTGTAGATTAACACAGCAAATAATTTCACCAATTGCAGAGAGGAAGCAGAAGACGGTAACACTTATGAGCTTATGTTAGGCTTGGAAACTCAACCAGCCATGAGTAAGTCATGTTGTTAGACAGTTTTATTGGGTTTTGGATGTGCTGTATTAAGCGTTTGAAGTTATGGACAGAGAGGGCAAATTTATTCTAACACTTTCAACTTCCACATGTTACTGCAACTTCCAGGGAAGGCAGATGCCCTAGGAGAACAGGAAGGCAGTTGAGGGATTCAGCTATGATAACAAAGTTGTCGCTCAGTAAGAGAGACCTCAGTGCAACCACACCTCCTTGTAAAATCTGGAAATTTATCATCTCTGCTCTGAACCTTGAAAACAGCTGAATTCTCCAAGTTCGCAGAGAACAGCCTTCAGATAAGGGGAGGCACTGCCTACAGGTGCAGTCAAGTCCTGTATGGAGGCACAGACAGTTGACAGTTTGCAGCTTGATGTTCATACTTCTAAGCATAGATTGATGACAAGCTTATTGATGATCTGTGGTCCTATACATTCCCCTTGAAAACTGCAACAAAGTTGCTTATTTGCATTTACTGATAGCATATATTTTGCATATATCTTAAGAGTATCCTGGATCTATAATGCTAAATTTTATTCTCTTTCTATCTTGTTGACAATTTTATCTTTTTTACTGTCTCATACGTATGAAAAGGAAGTTTCTTATTTGCTAAATTTAGACTGGTTGCTTTAGCACATATAGGTGGATGATAGACACAGGAAAAAAACAGGTTAGCTCTGATAGGTTTTCCAGTGTCTCTGTCACACTGTATATGCATGGACAGATGGAAGAAGAAAATAAATTGTAACAGCTGGCCACGTTAGCCAGCTAAATGCCCTAACCTCACATTTGAATCAATGCTGAAAGGCAGACATCACCAAAGGATAACGCAGAATGGAAACCTACCTCAAGGGTTCAGTACAGTGTGATGATGGACTTGTGTAGTTATTCTGTTATGTTACTGATCTTGACTACTAAAATTTTGATGCTGTACATAGCAGTTTAAAATGTACACTTTCACATCTCTCCACTGTATTCTTGTTCTGTGGTCCATGGGCCACTAAACAAAGAATCACAGAACTGTGGAATCAATTAGGTTGTAAAAGACCTCTGAGATCATCGAGTCCAACCTATGATCCAACACCACCTCGTCAACTAGACCATGACACTAAGTGCCATATCCGGTCTTTTCTTAAACGCCTCCAGGAATGGTGACTCCACCACCTCCCTGGGGAGCCCATTCTGGTGCCCAGTCACTCTGTGTAGAACTTCTTCTTAATGTCCAACCTAAACCTGCCCTGATGCATCTTGAGACTGTGTCCTCTTGGCCTATTGCTGGTTGCCTGCAAGAAGAGGCTAGGTAGTTGTAGAGAGTGATGAAGTCTCTCCTGAACCTCCTTTTCTCTAGGCTAAACAGCCACAGCTCCTCAGTCACTCCTCATAGGACTTGTGCTCCAGACCCTTCAGCAGCCTCATTGCTCTTCTTTGGCCATGCTCCAGGACCACAACATCCTTCCTGAACTGAGGGGCCTAGAACTGGACACAGTACTCAAGGCGCAGCCCCGCCAGTGATGAGTACAGGGGCAGAATTACTTCCCATGTCCTACTGGCCACACTATTCCTGATACAGGCCAGGATGCCACTGGCCTTCTTGAGCACCTGGGCAGAGGAATTCTGTTTCCACAGGTGTACAGTCATGTCTCTTATGGGCAATGTTTATTTAATTTTAAGGAGAAAGCACCCAAAACCTCATTGTGTAAAAACAAGTACCACAGATATGCGAGCTGTGGCTTTATTTTGTTAAGTGTTGCATTGTGCTGCATTGAAAATCAAGTAATACAAATTATGCAGGCAAGGAAAGTGTATGTGATTTCATTCTGACAGCAGCTCTAGAAGAGTTTAACATTGCACGCACGAAGATGGCATGTATCAGAGTAGCAAGGTACAATGAAAACTTCCACTGTTCATTTGGTAAATATTTAAAAAGCTGTTCACTGGCAGTATGTATTTGACAGCTTTTCTACTGTATCAGTTCATAAAAGTTTTATTAGCCATTGTGTTGCTTCTGTGGGAATCCTTGAAACAGGAAATGTTTCCAGATGGCAAATTTTAAATGAAATAATGCATTCTTTAGTATTAAAAGCCAAGCAGAACCCGGGAGATCAATATGGATTTGGATCGAGATGCCAACACAAAGCTGAAGTGGATGAGGAAAAGAAAGATGATGTAAGAGACAGCAGAGAGGAGACAGAACATGAAGATCAAGAAGAGGAAGAATCATATAGCTTTCACAACAGTCCTGACGATTTGTATGCCAACATACAGGATGATCTCAAAGAGAACAGAAGAGATTGCTTTCTCTGTAAGAGACCACCCCCTCCTCCCCCTCGAAATCTGCCTAGCATCCTAAGACAGGACGATCTGCACGATTTATCACAAGGTACAGTCTTGGGAGGAAAATAAGCCCAGATACAAACATGTGCAAGTGCAGACTATGTGCTGCTGCAGAGATTACATATGATCACTTCTAACAGAGTAGCTAGGCAGTATGGCCCTAATGGTGCAAAGCGAGCATGTGCATATGCACTTTGCTGCATCAAGATGTTCATGACCAGGTCTGTCAGGTAATACGTTGATGTGGGCTGCTGGGTTCACGTTTTCCTAACTGTGCCTGTTTCAGAGAGCTGCCAAATAATGCACTGGATTTACAAGAGAGGCTTGAAACAAAAGATTGAGCTTGTATTTTTGTCAAGTTGCCTTAAGTATTTACCATTTTAAAGCATTAAATACTATCTTGATTTAATATAGCTTGGAATTTCACAGGTACAATTAATAGAAAGTGACCATGCAGAGAGAAGTAATGTAGTATTTTCTTACATTTTAGCTAATGTTGTAGTTAGTTAGAAGTAAAAAGCTATATTGTGTTGCAGATTGAAAAGAATTAAATGCTTTGCCTTTTTTATCTTTTTTTCTAATACTTATTCCCCAGAATAAAGATCTAAAATTTTGTGTTGGGTTTGGTTAAAGTGATGAGAAGCACAAAATGCTATTTGCATCTGTTTCAAAAGGGATGATCATCAATTTTTCTCACTGAGAAAATGAGTATGCAAAATAATCCAAGCTGAAATACCAGACTTAAATAGTTGCATAGGGGAAAAAAAAAAACCTTCTTATTTGTTATGAACACTACTGATAAGTGTGCACACAAACTGCTTCTCAGTTTCTCCACTGCTTATTACTGTTAACTCTGTTTTCAAATGTGGTGTAACCTATTAGAGTCTTAAATTACCATCACCAAGCACTCTGAAGTTCACATAATTAGACAGAAATAGCTCTCTAGTCTTATAGCCTGCTATAGGTAGGATTTTTCCTGTGTTCTGCTGCCCAAGAAAAAGCTGGCTACATGCAGGAATCCATAGGTGAATTCTAAGAGAAAGAGGGGCAGAATAACATTAATGCTAAAAATCCGTTTTGCTTCCCACAAAATACTCAACTGGAGCTATATGTGTGTATAAATGAGGGTCAGTTTTGGCACACATGATTTGTTAGTGTAGGTTTGATATAAATGCCTGTCTTGGAATAGGTCTTACATGGCTATACCATCAAGTAGTAATGTGACCGTCTCTGCCAAACACCAGCTGTCTGTATGTGGGTACCAGCAAAGAAAGTTTCCTGACTTTGTAGTGTCCTGTGCCGAATCCTGTCGTGGTAAAGCAGAGTTCATCTGAAAATGCTCCTGTGTGAAGAGTTCATTTAAAACGTGCTCTGAATTTTCCTATGTTTAGCCATGATTGGGGAATGAGTTATCAGAATTCCTCTAAATGAGGATGATGCTTGCTTTCAAAGAGGAGCTCTAATGAGTCATTGCTATGTATTTGCAGTGAGTGCTTGCTTTAGGAGTTGCTGTGGAGTACTTCAAAGGCAAGTCCCCTTTTCTTCAAGTCTGTGTTTTGGCAGTGGCCTGAGAGTGCCCCCTGTGGGAGTTAGAAAAGAAAGAATGTCCTACAGAGAAAGAAGCAGAACTTGTATAGTGACACGGCAACAAAATATTATTCATGTTAAAGATGGCAGGTGTATTAATCCCACTTGTTGTTTTAAAACATTTTTATATCTTAGTCAGAATACATGTTGATATTACATATTATTAATACATCCCCTTTATAAATGATGCATCCCATTTACAAAGGTATCCCACTTTAAAAGGTTGTTTAGCTCCTCTGGACCCATAAATAGATCATTCTTTAAATAGCAGCCAAAGGATTGAAAACACCAGTAGTGACCACAGCCTAGTTTAGCAGATACACATATGTACAGGCAGTAAATTACAACACAAGGAAAAAATGACTCAGTACAAGAATTCCAGGCAGGTCTACTGTTTTTGCAGGAAAGATGGGTAATCATCACAAGGAAGTTATAAACATTTATGGGAACACCAGCCTCAGTAACATCTTGTAACTCTTAGAAGTTTGTGGAGGTTTTAAAGGCAAATCAAAGCAAACCCAGGTATCGGGAAACTTATCAATGCCTTTTAATGCTGTAAAATGTACAAACTAAAGGAAAGCAAGTTCTAAGTAGTTGTTCTATGAAATATATGAAATACGGGGAGTACAGAGAGGCATTTGCAGGTATTAGAGTGGAGGAGTCTTAGCACAGATTATAAAAGGTCATAAATTTTACCTACACTGTAAGGGGATTTTTTTTTTTTTGACCTTGGCCTACAGCACATCTTAGTAAAGCCCTCAAAACCATGTGGGACATTGAAGATGTAGGAAAGACAAAATTCAACATTTTCTAAAATCAGTTTCTGTTCTTAAGTTATTGTTGCAACAGGTAAGAAACAAAATGTTTTCCAAAATTCCAAGGGCCACATTGGCTTCACCATGAAACAACATGTTTGTGAGAGCAACTGTGGTACTCTGTATTTCTTTAAATGAGTCCATTTATTTTGTGGCTAATAGCTAAGAATCTATGTTTGATAATCTGATGTGAAATCAGGAGGAGTCCCTGAAGTTGTAATTATTCCTTTGGGACACTTTCTCTACTGAGTTACATGATCAGAAGCCTCTGAAAATCAGAGCACTTTAGTTTAGAAGTGAAATTAGGTCTCTGAGTTACTTTAGGAAACTTAAAGCTTTAAGATAAGTCCTAATCTCCTTTCTTTACCCTTTACATGCAACACAATTTCTTCCTTTTTCAGAGAGGAATTTTGTGATAGACAGGAACAAAAGAGAACATGGTGATGGACTCAAAACACCGTGCTACAGAGAAGACCAAGATACATGCGAGGAAGGCAGCGAGGAGGAACACCCATACACTGCTGTGAAACTGGAGGAATCTGTGTATGATTTCATAGTGGGGGAGGAGGAGGAGAAGAGGAAACATTGCAGGTCCTTTATTGCGAACAGGCCGCCAGCCCCTGCCCCTCGTCCCACATGTTCACTGGTCAGAGAGGAGAACACGCCCTATATAGTACAAGGTTAACGCTGCTGCTTTGTCAATATCTTCTAGTAGAATGTAGACGTCTCTTCTGTTTGATGAATAACATTTTCTAAAAGACTAAGATCCTTGTTCAGTTACCTTCAAACCAACACATTGTTTGTTTCAGTCAACCTATTCTCATCCTTCAAATGAGCTGAGAACATATCTGAGTAATGTTAATTTTCAGTTTGCATGTCAGATAGTATCACAATTTTTATTTAGCTTTTAAAAAATTATGAGAATATGAGGGAAAATTAAGATTCACTGGGCTAGCTGTGAGTGTATCTGTTCTAGCAATTGCCTTTCAGTTTCTTTACTGAAATGATTTTACTTAATTCTAAGAGAGAAATTTTAGTCTTTTTTTATTCTGACAAGAACAGTAGGGAGAAATGCCTGTGTGAGAATTCCTCTTCCAAATATCCTTTCTCCAATACAAAATGCTAGAATTGGCCACTGTTTCTAGGTAGGATCATTTATATTTCTAACAGGAAGGATTATGTCCTTTTACCATTACTATGAAAACTGGGGAACATTTTTGAGCTTATTCATGGAAATATAAGGCTAGAAGGGGACCCCTGGAGGCCTAGTGGTTAGCATGCGGGACTCTCACTGCTGCGACCCAGGTTCAAATCCCAGTCCCCCCCCGGGCAGATGGAGCTCGTTAGCCCTGTTAGGCCATCCATCTATGAGAAGGTCACTCTAAACAAACCTACGTCCTGAGGACCTCACTGCCATTGTCCAAGCTTGCTTGGCCCCGGCAGATGAACCTTAGGATTAAAGGGTGGGCTCAGTTCAGCGCAGGCTGTGTCTCACCTAAAAAATCCATTGCGCAGGCTGGAAAGGTAAAAGACCTTTCCCAAAATCTTCGTTCGCGAAGACTGGCCATTATAAGGCTAGAAGGGATTTCAGGTATCTTTGCAATCCAATTCAGACTGAAGCCAAATTTCAAAGTAACAAAAGAAATTCAGTGAACTTACTGCAGAGATCTCTGTTTCAGTCCCAAAATCCATGCTGCCTGCATTTCCAGCCTCCTCTGCAAAAACCTGCCAAGGTATAAGAATATACATAAGAATAAACGGTAGAAAAATAGGCTGACAATGGACACCATTAGATTGCTTACTGCATGCAGTGCATGTTTTGCACTAAATCAGAATTAATACTATGCAAAACATTCCACCAAATACAGAGGAGCACCTCCTTTTTCATACGTGTCTCAGTCAGTGATTTCTTTTATTCTTCTTAGCTAGCTCTCTTCCTCCAGGCTGAATAACTCCAGGTTAGGGCCAGAATGCATGGGCTAGTGTGGTCATCATTTAGTTGCTCTTTCTTCAGCATATTCAGGAGGCATAGGAATGAATTATTACAGTAGTTACAGTGTAATCCAAGAATAGATGGGTATAGAGGGCCTGTTACAGCTATAAAAGTCATGAAATGGCTGCTTTTACTGAGGTTGCTAGAGCAGTGTCTCAAATCTTGGTCCACCATCATTATAGATAGGCCAGTGATTTGAAAACCCTTAATGTGAAGGTGCTTTATTTGGGGGATTGCTTTTACTGTCTGTTGTTGCACTGAGTATTTCTGCTTTGTCTCCTCTAACTGTTTGCTAAGGAAGAGATTATGAGAGGAACTGCTTTGATGGGACTGTGGTTTACCATATATATATTTATATATACACACACCCACAAGGTTTTTACCTTTGTTTTTATAAGCAAGTAGTAGACAAATTAGTTTCCTGTAGTTCTGTGAAATCAGCCCCTGACTCAAGTTCCTTTACTTACACAGAACATGAGAAAAGTAGAAGCACTTCAAGAAAGCTTCAACTGACCACTCAGGCCTCTGTTTTGCCTACCTGTATTTCTGGAGTATTTCACTCTCCTGTTTGTGCAGGGATTCCTGAGGTAGCAAGTGAAATTTCCGACAGAAGGAATATACCTTCCGGTGAAAGATTTTTCTTGCTGCTTTTTGTTCTTCTCCACAGCGGTTAAAAAATTCTTTATCCAGTCCAGCAACATCCCAGTTTCCAGTTTATTATATTAGAACTGCTTATATTCAGGAAAAAAAAGATTGCTTCATCTGTAAGAACCAGAAAATTTCGTTCTAGTCCATCATTAAAATCTGTGTGTAATTGTGGCCATTCCTTTGTAATTTAACCTAATCAGTGTAAAATACTCTAGCTAGTTAGCGTATATACACATTTTTCATCCCTCAAATAAATTGATTATACTTTTGGGGTTTATTTTCATATATTGTATTAAAAAGTGTATTACAGAAGAGGCAAAGTCAAATAATCAAAAGTTAGAATTGTAGTTTTGCTGTTCTTTCACCCTGCCACAAACATTGCAGTATATGCTCCTATTTATCACAGATATTTTGTTTCATCTAGTGTTTAAAGTGATTAAGCATGAAAAACTTCAGTGTTTTTTTATTCCCATTTTGTTTAAAATATAATTCATTCCTGCCTTAGGTCCCACGTTTCAGACCCTCCTGTTTTAAACCCTTTGATTTGTTCTCTATCCATTGAGTTTTTGGATGCCCAATATGAAGTAACTAAGATTCTTGAGATTTAACAGCATTAGCTCATACTTTATTCATTCAAAGGCATTGATTTCAGTGGCCACTCAGAACTTCAGATTAAATCATTAGTGTGTCTAGTCAGTACCCTGACATCAGGGACTGACAAGCCTGATTGCTGGCTTAAATGACATATCTGACATTATGCTAGGGCTTTGTTGGAAAGAGAAGTCCTGGTCTGCAGAGCAACTTTTAGTTCCTTAACTGAGGCATCCTCCCCTCCTCTGCATTTTCTCTTCATTCACTAAATACCTTTCAACTTATAAAACAAATAATTTAATATTCCTGTAAGAAACAGACTGTCTTCACTGCACAGTTCTGGTTGATCTCCAGAACCATTTCCTTCTGGTGTTTAGTAAGACACAGGTCCTATGGAAAAATGGGATTAGAGAATGGAGCATGATGCTCAGAGGAGGGCTGTGTTAAGGCCACGCAGTCACTCACAGCTGGATCCCCGTGTACTTTGGGAGTTAATGGAAAGAACAAGCTTCATGCCCAAAGGATTGCAAGGACTGTTGTGATAGTGCCATACAGAGATGCAAGAGGAGGATTTCTTTTTATGTACCCATAGATGGGCTTGTTTATTGGAAAAAGAAAAAAAGCATTGCATAGCAGAAATGCCTTTTGGCTCTTCGATTGCATGCTGGTGACTACTTTTTAATTTATTTTTTTATATCTATCTGGACAAATCAAGTAGCTGAATTTCCATGAAGACTTTCAGCACAAATTGAACAAAGGCCATGAAGTTACAAAAGAGTATCTTTTCCTTTAAGCAGAAGAAGTGGTGTTTCCATGAAAATAGCAACAAAGAAGAAAGCGAGCAAATAGCTCGCAAAAAGCAGCTTCCAAATACATGGAATCTCAAGTTTACACTGGGCAGAAAGTCTGCTCCCTGTAGATTACCCCACTTGGTGCTCTGCTGAACAGGCTAGGGAAACTGTTGATCTATGGAAAACAAACATGGGACTTGACAAGCCAGTTTTTAGAGTCACTTTCAGAGTAAGAACCTAGGCAGTAAACACTCAATGATGCAAGTTGTCATAACTGAACTACCACAATTTACAGTTTGAGCATCTGACTTGAATTTGCTGACAAATAAATTCTAGGAAACATGGGGGAGTTGAAAGATTTAAAATGTAAGTGTTCTAATCGCTTTTACTCAGTTTCATTTATTCCATTTTCAAATTTTAATGAACATTCCAACTACTGTACTGAACACTGGTAAACATATACTGCATTTTTAACAATCAGAGAGTGCATTTGTTCTTTAATTTAGACCACTGCAAGAATTCTGTCTTCTGCATGAAAGCCTCATCAACCAACAGAGCTGCAAATTTTGTCCAGATGGTGTACACTCTTAGTGTGCTCCCTTACCATTCCTCAGGTGCTTATTATTCCTCTGTAGATATTTCAGTGGTTCTTTTTAGTTGTGTGCTGGCAAAACTGTTAAATAAATGTATGAAGACGTTGTGTTTTCAGTTTAGAGTGCAATTTTAGTGTTCCCTATTGATACCAGATTTGATTGAGCTGGATACCAAAGTTCCTGGTGTATTTGTAGGGCAGGTGCACGAGTTTCTCTAATGCCACCCTTCCATTTCTGAAGTCTGACCTACTAGGACTGCCTCAAGGTCAAGGATTACATTACTGTCCTGGTTTAATCATTTACCTCTTATCACAGACCCCTAGTATGAAAGGGTTCTCTGCAGCAAGGACACCTGTCCTACACCAGCGTAAATAAAACTTCATATGCTATAGGCTTTGCTCCTTTGCAAACCTCTCACAACTCCCTGAAGGAATGTGTTACCCCTCTGTGCACTGAAAATATTTTACTATTTAAACATTGCTTTCTGTGGGACATCACACTAGGGTTAAAAGTTAGAAGTGGAAAAGTATGTTTTCCAGTTACTGTTCTGAAGGAGAATTGCGTTCTCAGTGCTCATCAAAATCACAGGGTATGCAGGAAAAGTAGCAGCCGGTGGATATTTTTAGGGAGGCAGAATATCTAACATACAGAATAGACAGCATAAACCCAACTGAAATGAATAAACAAAGTCCAGAACAGAACTGTTAATGTTTTGGAAACTTACCAGGCTGATTACTGGGAACTGTAGTGATCGCATCCTGAGTCAGTAATTCTTATTATGCCAATTGTTTAAATACTCTAAAACAGGGGTTTCCAAAGTGAAGCCTAAGAGCCTGTGCAAAACTGCAAAACATTTATGTCCCACAGAGGGATTTTATAGTACTTTCCTACAGTGAATATAAAGTACTGCACTGCAGATGAATTTCATTATGTATTCCCAACTTCAGGATGTTTTTCCATGAATGATATGATACTAGGAAGCACTGTTTAGCTGGCTTTGAGCAGTTAGACTGTTTTTACAGAACTGCTTGGAGAGTGGTATACCAGCTTCATCCACTGTATTT